TAGTAAATAAGAAATTCCAAACATACTTGATAATACATGCGTTTAAAATCAAAGTCCTGCCTTAATTTTATTAGCACTAATAGAACTAGAGAAACACTAAGCTGCTTCTATTCTTAGAAAATTCAAATGGTAACTTATAAAAAACAGTCATAAGGAAAGCAGCAACTTGACTGCATTTAAGATTTTCATTTTCCACAATTAATTCTGCATATTCTTCGTTCATTTTCATATTTTCTGCAGCAAGGGCCAAGATGTCCATCGGTTGAAATCCTGAAAAATATATACAGTAAATAGATTACAATATGTATTTCAAGCACCCCTTATGCAAGTGACAACTCAACCGAAAACAGAGAACTCTGATAAATGTGGTGAAATAGTTTTTCCAAAACCAGTTGATAATCATTTAGATTTAAATCAGATAGAAAAGATGAAAGTTGAGTGGAAATAAATAGATGTAAAGCAAGATGAAGCCATAAAAATAGAGAGATCCACAAGAAATAATAATAAGACCTGGATGAATGAAAGAAAGTGTGGTGTTACTGCCTCAAATTTTGGAGCTGTTATGAAAAGAAAGAAAGAATAAACAATTCATTTTTAAAAAACACATTTGACAAAAGTAATTTTTATTCTGTTCCCACTTCTTATGAGCAAGCAAACGAAACCATTGCTAAACAAATGTATATCAAACAGACTGGGAATCATATTCCATGACATTGGACTTATAATAAATCCAGCTTTTTCATTTTTAGGTGCTACACCAGATGCAATTGTTTGTGATAAAGGTGAGACTGTGCTCATTTAAATTAATTGTCCTTTTTCAGTTCAAGATATGATACTTACAGATTTCTTTTTAATTCAAAATGATGATGAATATAAATTGTCTAGAAACCATATTCACTGGTTTCAGATTCAGGGACAACTTCTCATAACTGGGGCACAATTTTGCAACTTTGTCACTTTTACAAAACAGCATTCTGCACAGAGAGAATATATCCAGAAAAAGAAACCATGCAACAAATGGTTTCAAAATAATCATGTTTTTATGTTGAACATTTACAGCCATATCTTATAAAAAATTCTACATGTCTATAAAATGAGTTTAACTAACCTGCGACAGCATCAACTATATTCTCTGTCTGTACCAATTTATTAATCAAAGCATTTTCTTCACAGTTTGTATACTCAATTTGATTTGACTTTACAGAAACTCTGTAAAAAAATTCATAATTATATAAAGTTTGTACATAAATAATTATATTCAAAATTTTTATACCAGAGACTAATTTTGTAAATACGTTAGTAAAATATTTTAATTGTTTGCTGCTAACACCTGGCGTCTAATTTTAATAAATGTAATAATTAGACTAGCCATTAGAGTAAACAATAAAGTGGGGGACCCCTCGGGACTACATCTTATCGTTAATGCCATCCGGTGCGAATGTACTTAAAGTGTTAATCAATTTGAATTCATTGGCTTTCCTTACGGCATCGTTTTTTGCCGTTTTCTGGGTCAGTCTTAAAAAGCTCTATAATTTTAAGCATAATATTTCTACTCGTATGTCTATCTAAGTTGAAGTGTAAGGCGACCGGCTTTGGCCTGTTGTGTCTAATAGCTGCATAGTGTTCCTTTATTCGTTTTGAAAAGACATGTTTGCTTTCTCCTACGTACGTATTGTTTTTTGGAGGAGCATGTTAATAGGTAGACTATATTTCTACTTAAACGATTATAGCCCATGCGTCAGGAATATTTCTTGCCAGTTTTACCACTAATAAAGTAGTTATTTTGGTCTAATTTGTAGCAGATATCACAGTCCTTCTTGATACATTTTTCGAATAGATTTTGAAACATGACTCCGCTGGTTTGCGGGTTCCGTGGTGGATAGATGAATCTTGCTTTCATCAGCGTATCCTTCAAATTAGGATTCCTCCTAAATGCTGTGATTGGTTTGATGTTTGAAATGGAACAGCACATGTCCGATCCGGTTAATAGATGCCATTTCTCTTTTATGAGCATGATAACTTGAACAGCAGTTGAATTATAATCCGTGATAAAAACGAGCAACTTTCGTTTTTTCAAAATGGTAGCCGTAGAGATCAAAAGGGTTAGGAGCCTTGAGTCAATGCAAATAAGCATAATCATGACGGCAAATTCTTAGCCGAATAACGCAAAAATAACCTTGTGAGCTCCTTGTTGAATTCAAGAAATATTTTCCTAGAGCCACTTTTCAAAGTATGCGAAATAGTCGCATAATTCTTAGCCTAACTCAAGGCCGAATATGAAAAACAAGGACGAGTTCACAATTAATTTAGCCGTGGTACCCCTACGGCGAAAGCTAATAAAAAATTAGTGCATACACGCCCATAACCTAATTGAGTTATTTTTAAGCCCTCGTTAGTTTAGGAAACTTTAAACTTAGAGATCAAAAGGGTTAGGAGCCTTGAGTCAATGCAAATAAGTATAATCATGACGGCAAATTCTTAGCCGAATATCTTTGCACACTTTTCGGAATAATCGACTCCAGTGCCATAGATCGACTCCAGTGCCATAGATCGACTCCGGTCCATCTGTGACATCACATGTGCTCCGGTGCCCACCGACACTATATATAGAGGGCCACCACACATCCTCATTTAAGCCTGAAGAGTTTGAATAAGAACGAAACTAGTAGCTGAGAGAAATCTGGGAAGGCTCTTCGCCTATTTGCAGATTTTTTACTAGACTAGCCATTAATAAAAAAATACAGCATTAACACAATTTTCTCAATTTTAATTTCTTGCTATTACCATAACTTACAGTTACAGATGCATAAAGAATGTGTGTACTTTATAGCAAGATCTAAATGGAATATATCTAAAATGATATAAAACAGTTTGTAGCATCAACACAAACTAGATAGGTCATTTTTGGACTGACAAATTGTCCAATTTTATTTCAATAATTCCTGTCTGCGTTGTAGGACCCGGAGGAAACCCACGGGGTTGGACAGACGAGCCTTGCCACAGTATTGGTTCAAATAGTTTGAAACCACCTCACTTGATCTAAAATGCATGTGCGTTAACCATTCGACAACCCAAACCCCCAGTATAGGACAGAAGACACCATCTACAAGACAGTGATTCTAAGTCTCTGTATGACTAATACTGTGAGCACATGTGACAGGATATAATCATTCTAAAGCTGATAAACCCATTGTTACCTTAAAACCTTTGATTCGACTACTGCAGGTTTCTCAAAAAAATTACTTGAACTGGGTTTAGGTGGTGGTCTTGGTTGAGCAATATGATCATAATGCAGTGCAGCGATGGGATATGGCTGAAAAATGAAAAAAATAATAAGAATATTATTATTATTATGATACATAATATAAGTAAGTTTACATGACCATTTCATTCTCGTAGATAATTACTATCAAGTTCTTAATTGGCAACTTGATTTGCTTTGTCTGCCTTCTCTTTTTTGTTTTGTTAACTTCTTAATCAAACTTGAAATTAAGGCCCATGCCCGAAATGAAATGGGGTTTAACGTCCTACTGTTCTGCTCCGAACTGGGCTAATGAAGACGGACATATACCATACAGTGTGCTATGAGGGAAATTTTGCCCGGACAGTGGCACTATGGCCTACTCTTATATCGATTTCCAACTGTCAAGGGATCTTTTACGTGCATACCAATGGGTACATATACATGGGACCTCAGTTTTTCGTCCCATCCAAACAACTAGACAGCTGTCCTTGTCAGGTCCTGCGCCCATTCCCGAACTATTTAGTCTGCAGACCTGTTCTGTAGTATACATGTAGTCCTATATATCAGTTACAGTCAAATAAGATAAACTATATTAATTATATTATGAAAAAGATTGTTTCTACTGGCTGTCACTTCTTCCCTGGTGCAATAACCGAATAAATTTATAAAATGTCTGATTGGAAATACTGACATTTTAATGTCACATTGTAAAAACAGCCACATTTATTAGCCTTTAAGATAAGGCCTACCGGTACATAAGAAAAATAATGATGAAAATATTCTTGTAATTTGTTTCAAAAGAAGAGTAGGCAAAAAAGTCTATAAAACTATAAATAATAACCTGTATAAAACTATAAATAATAACCTGTACTAAGCCTATCTCTTCGTTTAACTGGTCGTCCGCATCAACCTATCCATCGTCTGGTATCACGTGTTCTTCCAAGCTTTGGGAAAGGAATAAAGGTTACCCTCCTGTCAGTCTCTCCGGACTGTCCGAATTACACGTACGACAAGCACATCTCTTTACCATTATGACAGGTTGGTGGTTAAAGTCTGTTGGAAATACCTTTATTTTCGTCAGACCATAGATCTGATTGGTTGATTTATTATTTTGATTGACAGCTGCGATCGGTCTAGTTACTTTAGTAACAAAGTCTTAGAGACCCCCCAGTGCTCTCTCTTCATCTCTAACACTTCATTACTAAAGTAACTACGATCGGTCAAACTATTACACTACCTACAGAAAATATTTTTGACATTCAGTCATGTGGTCAGCACTGATTATGAAATACTGTTGACTAGAATTAAAAATCTTATTTTCTAAGCACACACGCTAATTATGCAGTGATTTTGAAAATTATTTCACTACAAAGACCATAGGAGGCAGCTAGGTCAAATATGATATAATATATAGTTGTGTCTGACAAACTACAAGTTAACATCTCTAAAAACATCCAGGGGTAATCAGCGCAAAGTTGGCAATCTGCGTGCCAGATTCATAAGCGCAGATTGCAATCTGCACAGTACGACAGCGCAGATTGCAATCTGCGCGAGGGGTGAAGATTGCGCCTAACATAGACAACTATCTTTTGACTTTCTTAGAAATTATGCAATTATAGCTTTAAAAATTCGTAGGGACTTTAATTATAACTGTGCATGTCGTGTAAATATTTTCTTTTGTGTTTTGAGAAAGTTATTTTCAAATAAATTCACCAAACATCATGCATACCCCTGGCAAATGTGAGAGCAAACTTACCGATTTTCCAATTTTCGATAATAAACACTGGGAAATATCAGCTTCGTCTATTTTGTCTAAACAATCAGTTAAATTTTTGCTTTCCACAGAAAAATCAACTGAGATTTCATGACCGACAAGATCGCTGTAAAATTGAGAAAATTCCGAGAAATCTAATGATTTCGAGTTATTAGTCCTGTACTTTTCAGTAAGCTGTTTAATAAATACTTCATTTACAAGAAAACTGTTGGTTTCGTTAAACTGCCAAGAATGATCCAAAAGAGATATTAATAACAGAATTGAAATCAAAAAAGATTTTGAGGTCACTGACACAATTCTGAAAAATATTCGAAACGGTGCCGAAGGAGCCATGGGTGGAATTTAATGATGAAGAAATCTAGTCTGTTGAGCGAGATCGCAAGAAATGGTGTTGACAAGGCTACACGGAGAGTAGAGTCTGTGAATGTTTCATAAACCAGCAAGTTATTAAACTACATGTATCACCGATGTCGCAATTTTCACACTGCACCACGTTGCCTTTTCTGTTGTTTACCACTTTACCCGGAAATAAACACGCTACGGGGATGCTCGATTGTCACCGAACCGAGGAGTGTTGTTGGGGTCGGGTTATGGACATAACGGCCAAAAGCAAAAACGGCCAAAACATATTTAGTTATAACGGCCAAAATTTGGGCATAACGGCCAAAATTTGGGCATAACAGCTAAAATTTGGTCATAACGGCCAAAATAAATTTTGGTCACAACTCCCAAATTTTTTCCTACCTGCCCTTCATAGCCAAGTTTACAGAGTTTTAGATTAAAAAAAAAAAATTAAAATTTTGTTAATGGTTGTCAAAACATCCTTTATAACTTTTTCAATCTTGCAATTTATAAAGTTTTAAAGTTCTTTTGTCTTATGTGAATGTCACAACATTATCCCAAATTAACCATCTAGTACAATTCGAGCCTTTTCTCACAATGATGAGACATTCTTGTCTCAATGATTATCAAAACATCCTTTATAACTTTTTCAACTTTTAAAAGACACCATTGTTTAAAGCTTTTTTTATGTAATTGGTTGATGGCAATGGATACACATATGTGATAAAGGTAAATAAGCGATCAATCCATGGTACCATGATTTCCTTTTTATCGTGATCAATTCCTGGTTTCTCATTTGTATGTTCTTGATGTCTACCCAGACGAGATGTAAAAAGTAGTCTCAACAAATTTGTCACCATGTTTATCATGGTGATTAATTGAAAATGTATTAATGTCTTTCAGGGTTCTAATTCGGGTAATGTATACTGGAGATGTAACAAAAGAACGGATAAGATAAAGTGTAATGCATCAGTTAAAGAAAATCTGGAGAACAGAACCGTTGAATATGGAAAGAATGCGTACAGTCATCCCACGCAACCTGGAAAGCTACAAGAAGTTAAAGTCCGTAGAGAAGTAGGTATTTCCAACACTCATTCAATAAATTAGCCTAGAGTTTTACTTAGGTAAATACTAGGTGTTTAACTGAGATGTCCAGTTACATGTATATTGGTTAAATATGGTGTTTAATATTCTCTAGGTCAAAGATTCTGCATTAGGCAATATTTTTATGTCAGCTAGAGCCATAGTTGAAGAAGTGTTACTACTACTGGGGTAGCTCGGACCGGGGAGTAACATAGGCCAGGTGGCGTTAGTCTAACACTTCCGGTTTCGGAGTTATGACCCCCGAGCGAAGCCGGTCTTTTCGGGGTTGGCGGCTACACTAGGTCTGCCCCGAGTCTGAAAATTGGTTTATAGGGGTAGCTCGGACCGGGGAGTAACATAGGCCAGGTGGCGTTAGTCTACCACTTCCGGTTTCGGAGTTATGACCCCCGGGCGAATTCTGTCTGTTCGGGTTGGCGGCTACACTAGGTCTGCCCCGAGTCTGAAATTTGGGGTATAGGGGTAGCTCGGACCGGGGAGTAACATAGGCCAGGTGGCGTCAGTCTACCACTTCCGGTTTCGGAGTTATGACCCCCGAGCGAAGCTGGTCTGTTCGGGGTTGGCGGCTACACTAGGTCTGCCCCGAGTCTGAAATTTGGGGTATAGGGGTAGCTCGGACCGGGGAGTAACATAGGCCATGTTCTTGATGTCTACCCAGACGAGATGTAAAAAGTAGTCTCAACAAATTTGTCACCATGTTTATCATGGTGATTAATTGAAAATGTATTAATGTCTTTCAGGGTTCTAATTCGGGTAATGTATACTGGAGATGTAACAAAAGAACGGATAAGATAAAGTGTAATGCATCAGTTAAAGAAAATCTGGAGAACAGAACCGTTGAATATGGAAAGAATGCGTACAGTCATCCCACGCAACCTGGAAAGCTACAAGAAGTTAAAGTCCGTAGAGAAGTAGGTATTTCCAACACTCATTCAATAAATTAGCCTAGAGTTTTACTTAGGTAAATACTAGGTGTTTAACTGAGATGTCCAGTTACATGTATATTGGTTAAATATGGTGTTTAATATTCTCTAGGTCAAAGATTCTGCATTAGGCAATATTTTTATGTCAGCTAGAGCCATAGTTGAAGAAGTGTTACTACTACTGGGGTAGCTCGGACCGGGGAGTAACATAGGCCAGGTGGCGTTAGTCTAAAACTTCCGGTTTCGGAGTTATGACCCCCGAGCGAAGCCGGTCTTTTCGGGGTTGGCGGCTACACTAGGTCTGCCCCGAGTCTGAAAATTGGTTTATAGGGGTAGCTCGGACCGGGGAGTAACATAGGCCAGGTGGCGTTAGTCTACCACTTCCGGTTTCGGAGTTATGACCCCCGGGCGAATTCTGTCTGTTCGGGTTGGCGGCTACACTAGGTCTGCCCCGAGTCTGAAATTTGGGGTATAGGGGTAGCTCGGACCGGGGAGTAACATAGGCCAGGTGGCGTTAGTCTACCACTTCCGGTTTCGGAGTTATGACCCCCGAGCGAAGCCGGTCTGTTCGGGGTTGGCGGCTACACTAGGTCTGCCCCGAGTCTGAAATTTGGGGTATAGGGGTAGCTCGGACCGGGGAGTAACATAGGCCAGGTGGAGTTAGTCTACCACTTCCGGTTTCGGAGTTATGGCCCCCGAGCGAAGCCGGGTATCCTGCTAGTTATTATATTATTATTATTATTTATATATATATTTGTGAATGTCGTTTGTCTGTCTGTCCGTCTGTCTGTTCGGGGTTGGCGGCTACACTAGGTCTGCCCCGAGTCTGAAATTTGGGGTATAGGAGTAGCTCGGACCGGGAAGTAACATAGGCCAGGTGGCGTTAGTCTACCACTTCCGGTTTCGGAGTTATGACCCCCGAGCGAAGCCGGTCTGTTCGGGGTTGGCGGCTACACTAGGTGTGCCCCGAGTCTGAAATTTGGGGTATATGGGTAGCTGGGACCGGGGAGTAACATAGGCCAGGTGGCATTAGTCTACCACTTCCGGTTTCGGAGTTATGACCCCCGAGCGAAGCCGGGTATCCTGCTAGTATAATATATTCTGACCAAAATTAAATATACATAATATAAAACAGGAATATGTTTTAATAGCATCAATGTTTATTAAACATGCATTATTCAAAAAGTAAATGTGCCTATTGCAGGTCTTTCTTTAGGTCTGAAATGTTATATAAACTACATGTATTAATTAGACATTTATGATAATCAACTCTTGATGTAATCTAAGGTGTCCGATTTTCATTGGATTTGAATCTGATCTGCTGTTCACCGTCTGTTGATTAAAGGGGGGTTGGATGGCTGAATGGTTAGCGTGCGCGCGCTGTATCATAAAGTCTGTCATTGAGTCGACTGGCGTGGTTTCGAATCCCCGGTTGTACGTGACAAGGAGTAGGGTCGCCTGTCCAACCTCGTGGGTTTTCTCCGGGTCCTCCGGTTTCCTCCCACTGCTAAAGACCCCTACGCGCAAGCGAATTATTGAAATAAAATTAAACCATATGTTAGTCCCGAAATGACCTAGTTTGTGTCGAGTGGACGTTAAACCCAATTTCTCTCTCTCTCTCTCTGTTGATTAAACGCAACAATGGATAATCAAGACTTTGTTTATTATCGTGACAGCAGTAACAATGACAATTGAGGCTACAGTTAGAGTGGTTCATACTCAATTTTTTTTAACAACAAACACACACTATTTCGGGATTATTTTAACATTATATAAGACTTAACATAAAAACTTCATTTATCAACAATGGAAGTCTGACAACATTTGATTTTTGAGGATATAACCATTTGCAAATATGTTATAAATGCCTCAAAATCTACCCGTCTTCCATAATCAAGGCAGATAACTCTTAGTGAGAATAAGAGTTATGTCCCTTGGTCGCGGTAAAAATGGTACGGAAGCCCCTGAAACGAAATTTCATTATCGCAGTCGGAAAACATCGTTTATATCCTTGCTGCGAAGTAACGGAATACACTCTATGAGACGATTGAATTCAACATGTGGACGCATGCGCAAACGATTCGTTGTTTTAACAATATATCCACGCCTTCACATGTCTTAATATTAACTGTTTATAATGCTACAGTGAAAATTAAAATACACGTTTAGCTGGATATGAAACGATCGACGTTTGACATGAATTGTTTAAAGATTAGCCAAACATATGTATTAAAAAGAACAGTGCTTTCATTTCTGTATACCCACAGACACCGGGTCTGTTTAAAATGGCATGTTATATACAGACGGAGCGAGAGAGAGACGTCTATAAATCTAATAATATAACACTTTAATGTTAATCCCAAAGATAAATAAATATATTGGGCAGCATGATATTTGTTATGAAAAATAAATTGTCGGATAAAGTACGAGTAAAATATAATGGCATGTAATACGGAGAGTGAGGGATAAAGACCTCTATAAATAAAAAAAAAAATTTAACACTTTATTTTTTGTCCCACAGATAAATAAATATATTGTGCCGTATGATGTTTGTTATGAAAAAAAAACCACATTGCCGGATAAAGTATGGCGACTATATTCTATAAGTATTACAAATACAATAAAGAACGAGATTCAGGGAGATTTGAATTCGAATTTGGTATAGTGGGGAGGGGTAAATGCAACATAAAAGATAATATATTAACAACAAATTCAAAATTAGGACCACGTTCTCTCGTGTGGTATGCTAGCATTTACACACGAATATTTATGCTGTTATCTGTTCTATTTCGTACAAAGCGCTCAATAACATTTACCAAAACACATTTCTTCGTGACCAACGCCCCCTGAATGAATATGTCTGTATGTTAGAGCTGCATTTGCTACCGAATGTTGTCTTTTGCAACATCATTAAATCATATTCTTTAAATGGCATTTAGTAATTGGAACATAATCAAAAACACACTTTTATGGATAACAATTACTATGGTTTATTTCACTGCGACGTTTCAACAAGGTTTCGCAAGTCGTTATCAAGCATATACACAAATAGATAAAAATGAGAAAGATATGAATATATATACAAACATCAGTGCGAACTATCCAATGGAATGCAAGGTGAGTGAGCATGATTAGCTATAACAAGCTATTGATGTAACAAAGGTGCATAATCATATATATTAGAGTTAGCTTATTGTACAATTAAAACATGAAAGAGGGGATTAACCGAGATTAACAAATATTGAAACCATACACATTGTACCATAACTGAAACCAGTATATACTAAGAAAACATTCAAGAAGATCAAACTGAGGGTTTATAGAACTATATCGAAACCATAATCTTTACATTAATTATAACAGTTAAGAAATATAGAATTTTATGGTTGTGTTTTATAGTTAAGTAATGAGTTGCATATATGTATTTACAAGGTAAATATATATCAAAGTGTTGAGTAAAATATAAATAAATAACGATAAATTAAGCCGAATGCCCTATGATGAAACCTTTTATAATTATAAATATGAGTGGTAAGATATTGTAATTTGGTTGCATAGACATAAAATACTGTGATTAGCTAAATAAATTGTAGAAAATAATTGAAACATACAAATTTTACATATTGATAACAGAGGATTATAAAATGTGAGGGTTGTGGGTATGGAATATACAATCGATTCAGTATTGGGAAATGCCAGTAGTTACATATGGTTTTGCATGGGGAATTACTTAGGGGGACTGTGTTTACAATTTAATAATGCGGTCATATGCTCTGGGGATATAGACGCCTGGGTCTCGATTCAGTTTCGGTTCATGTCTTCTAATGTTGATCGCCTCATGTATCCTTCTGTTTCTTTTGTTGTGGTGGTTCACAGCCAACGTTTTAACTTTGGTCCAATCGACCCGGTGCCGTGGGTTGTCATTCAGATGTTCAGCAACTGCAGATTGATTGGTGGGGGCTTTTGACATGTGTTCTTTCAGTCGGATATCTAATGGTCTTTTAGATTCTCCAATGTAACTTTCCTGGCACTGCAGTTAATTTTGTAGACACAGCCTTTTGATGAGAAGGGTTTAGTGGGGTTCAACTTTCCATTCGCTTTTGCCAAGTCTTTGGTTGTTGCGCCCTTCAAGAAAGTGGTTTCAATATGTGCTTCCCTTTTCAATAATCTTCTGATTTGGTGGGAGATGTTGCCGTGGAAGGGTATGAAGATTCTAATTGGAGGTTTATCGTTTTTTGGGTTTATCAGGTTTTGGTAGGTCGGATAGTGTGGCATTGATGAGCTTGTTGACCATTTGTTCTGGGTATCCGTTGTGCTTGGTGAATACTTCTTTTAAGTGTTGAATTTCTTCGGGAAGGGATTCAGGGTCACAAATATTCTTGGCTCTTTTGGTTAAAGTGGTGATAATGCCTGCTAATCACAGTATTTTATGTCTATGCAACCAAATTACAATATCTTACCACTCATATTTATAATTATAAAAGGTTTCATCATAGGGCATTCGGCTTAATTTATCGTTATTTATTTATATTTTACTCAACACTTTGATATATATTTACCTTGTAAATACATATATGCAACTTATTACTTAACTATAAAACACAACCATAAAATTCTATATTTCTTAACTGTTATAATTAATGTAAAGATTATGGTTTCGATATAGTTCTATAAACCCTCAGTTTGATCTTCTTGAATGTTTTCTTAGTATATACTGGTTTCAGTTATGGTACAATGTGTATGGTTTCAATATTTGTTAATCTCGGTTAATCCCCTCTTTCATGTTTTAATTGTACAATAAGCTAACTCTAATATATATGATTATGCACCTTTGTTACATCAATAGCTTGTTATAGCTAATCATGCTCACTCACCTTGCATTCCATTGGATAGTTCGCACTGATGTTTGTATATATATTCATATCTTTCTCATTTCTATCTATTTGTGTATATGCTTGATAACGACTTGTGAAACCTTGTTGAAACGTCGCAGTGAAATAAACCATAGTAATTGTTATCCATAAAAGTGTGTTTTTGATCATTAAATCATATACATGTACTTATACAGTATAACCATATATCTGTCTGTTCAGATATTTTTTATAACAATCAACGTTATCATGTCAGCTAATATTCCACAGAAATACAAGTTTCCCAAAGATGATTTAAGTTGAAATTAAATTAATCTATTAATTGTATAATCGCCTGTACACACAACCTATTTAAATTGAACTTTCTAAATCTGTTACCTAATCGTCACCCGATACCGATCTATATTTAAATGTAATACATAAGTTGATAATATCCTCTTCTTTGTCAAACAATAAATTGTAAAATTTAATTAACAAATATTATTCTTGACTATATAGTTCCTGGAACAAAAGGATTTACTACAAACCAATAAATAAAAAAGATGATCGTTCAAAACGCCAGTTGATAATATCCTCTTCTTTATCAAACAATAAAATGTAAAATTAAATTAACAAACATTGTTTACAATATTTCCTGGAACAAAAGGATTTACAACAAACTAATAAATATGCACAGTTAAAATGAACCAGAAAACAACCGAAACTCTAAATAGAGGGTATTAAATGATTAAAACGTATTCACTTTGTCAGAATGTCTGTCTGCTGGGACATCTGGAATGAAGAATAAAATGGACATAGAAATAAAAAAAAATCAATTAACTGCATTTCATAACCGCTAAGAAAGAGGCATTGTAAACTTCTTCCGATTAAGTAGGGTGAGCCATACAAATATTTTTTTCTAAATTTGCCTTTAAATTTGGGACAGAACGTTCCTTACCCGCCGAAGAAAAACAAAAAAGTGATTTATCAGAAACTGGCTGATTCATGACGTATCTACGAAATCGGGGCTGTGCATTCAATGCCTCTTTGTTTCCCCGAGTGACGAAAACTTTGAAAGCCCATCATCCATTCCTTCTTTATTTATCCAAAGTCCCATCCCGGCAATTTCTGCTGTTAGGCGCTCTTTTTTCCTAATCTCAAGTTGTCCCCACCAATCAATCTGCAGTTGCTGAACATCTGAATGACAACCCACGGCACCGGGTCGATTGGACCAAAGTTAAAACGTTGGCTGTGAACCACCACAACAAAAGAAACAGAAGGATACATGAGGCGATCAACATTAGAAGACATGAACCGAAACTGAATCGAGACCCAGGCGTCTATATCCCCAGAGCATATGACCGCATTATTAAATTGTAAACACAGTTCCCCTAAGTAATTCCCCATGCAAAACCATATGTAACTACTGGCATTTCCCAATACTGAATCGATTGTATATTCCATACCCACAACCCTCACATTTTATAATCCTCTGTTATCAATATGTAAAATTTGTATGTTTCAATTATTTTCTACAATTTATTTAGCTAATCACAGTATTTTATGTCTATGCAACCAAATTACAATATCTTACCACTCATATTTATAATTATAAAAGGTTTCATCATATGGCATTCGGCTTAATTTATCGTTATTTATTTATATTTTACTCAACACTTTGATATATATTTACCTTGTAAATACATATATGCAACTTATTACTTAACTATAAAACACAACCATAAAATTCTATATTTCTTAACTGTTATAATTAATGTAAAGATTATGGTTTCGATATAGTTCTATAAACCCTCAGTTTAATCTTCTTGAATGTTTTCTTAGTATATACTGGTTTCAGTTATGGTACAATGTGTATGGTTTCAATATTTGTTAATCTCGGTTAATCCCCTCTTTCATGTTTTAATTGTACAATAAGCTAACTCTAATATATATGATTATGCACCTTTGTTACATCAATAGCTTGTTATAGCTAATCATGCTCACTCACCTTGCATTCCATTGGATAGTTCGCACTGATGTTTGTATATATATTCATATCTTTCTCATTTCTATCTATTTGTGTATATGCTTGATAACGACTTGTGAAACCTTGTTGAAACGTCGCAGTGAAATAAACCATAGTAATTGTTATCCATAAAAGTGTGTTTTTGATCATTAAATCATATACATGTACTTATACAGTATAACCATATATCTGTCTGTTCAGATATTTTTTATAACAATCAACGTTATCATGTCAGCTAATATTCCACAGAAATACAAGTTTCCCAAAGATGATTTAAGTTGAAATTAAATTAATCTATTAATTGTATAATCGCCTGTACACACAACCTATTTAAATTGAACTTTCTAAATCTGTTACCTAATCGTCACCCGATACCGATCTATATTTAAATGTAATACATAAGTTGATAATATCCTCTTCTTTGTCAAACAATAAATTGTAAAATTTAATTAACAAATATTATTCTTGACTATATAGTTCCTGGAACAAAAGGATTTACTACAAACCAATAAATAAAAAAGATGATCGTTCAAAACGCCAGTTGATAATATCCTCTTCTTTATCAAACAATAAAATGTAAAATTAAATTAACAAACATTGTTTACAATATTTCCTGGAACAAAAGGATTTACAACAAACTAATAAATATGCACAGTTAAAATGAACCAGAAAACAACCGAAACTCTAAATAGAGGGTATTAAATGATTAAAACGTATTCACTTTGTCAGAATGTCTGTCTGCTGGGACATCTGGAATGAAGAATAAAATGGACATAGAAATAAAAAAAAATCAATTAACTGCATTTCATAACCGCTAAGAAAGAGGCATTGTAAACTTCTTCCGATTAAGTAGGGTGAGCCATACAAATATTTTTTTCTAAATTTGCCTTTAAATTTGGGACAGAACGTTCCTTACCCGCCGAAGAAAAACAAAAAAGTGATTTATCAGAAACTGGCTGATTCATGACGTATCTACGAAATCGGGGCTGTGCTTTCAATGCCTCTTTGTTTCCCCGAGTGACGAAAACTTTGAAAGCCCATCATCCATTCCTTCTTTATTTATCCAAAGTCCCATCCCGGCAATTTCTGCTGTTAGGCGCTCTTTTTTCCTAATCTCAAGTTGTCCCCTTTCTTTTAATTTATCCCTTTTCGCCAAAAGAACCTCTAACCGTTTTCTCTCAATCTCTTCGTGCCTTTGTCTAAATTTGGAAAGTTGGTTTTTCGTTATAATTCGAGCATCCATTATGACCAAATTACGTCTATCAGGAGAAAGAGTTTTAAGCCATTCGTTAGATTTATTCATTTTATATAAAATGGATGCTTCCTTGCAAAAAGTATTAGACGAGGGCGCGATCCTCATTAATCTATCGAGATGACTGAACACGGTTTCCGGCAATTTGTTGTGAGGCATGGCAGAACCCGAACATGAAGGATTAAAGTCATCTCGATACTCAAGTAAAATATTTGAAATGTACTTTTTAAACTCGACAAAGAGGATTTTAAAAAAATGGATGAGGGTTGAATTAATATCGGAATTAAAATCTAATTTTTTTAAGTGATCAAGGACCGGATCGTTTTCAATTTTAATCAGAGATTCAAACGGGTGTGATTTACCTTCTGCAAAGTCATGTAAATTTGCTGTTTCAAAAAAATCATGTAATTTTTTATAAATATGTTTCATATCAAGAGCATTAATACCGCTTTCTAATATGCGCCACAGTGGAGCAGTCATTAGTTTATTTATGGCTACAGAATAATTAAATAAGATACTATGATTATGAAAGTAATTTACACCAAGTTACCGAAAAGTGTCTGGAGAATAAAGACTACCACTAAAAAGTTTGTTTCGGTTATTTTCCGGTCTCAAATAGTTCTGCGTATTTAGAGCTAGCAAATATTTATTTCCTAAAGTAAATAGAGCGCCACGTAAACGAAGGTTGTAACGACCAAATAAAAGAAAATCCCAAAATGCTGTAATGAGTTTATCTTGCCACGCTCATGGATTAATAAGTTAGAAATGAAACGAAGCTATTACAGCTAGCTCTGTACCGAAATCGCCAAAAAACCAAAAATCAAAAATTAAACCAAAGAGTTGTAATCGAAATTTTTGCTCACGTTCGTTATTAAATAAACACGAAAGTCGAAACGCGTAATGAGTGTATTTTTACTTGGCTTCATATACCAATACATGTTTGTATAATACCACGTGGAAAGCTATTTGTGGCGTATATTTGCTGCGACCTCCAAAATCACGTGCGCGGGACTAAACATTGCTCACTTCAGAAAATATCCCCGATGATGCAGTCAAGCAGAGACCTGTGCATGTTTATATAAGGACAAATAAGTGACCATTGAACCACTCTACTACAGTCATTTTTACAATAAAGTTTTCTCGGCTAATAGTGAAGCAATTTGACTGAAATTCCCAGCATATTCCATTTACATCATCTAGTTTTAACTATTACAGTGAGAACTGCCAGATCTTGATCTAATCCACCATAATGTATCTTTAACTAATAGAAAAAAATGTTTTGTTTGATAATTTGGGTAGGTCTTTTGAACAGTGCTCCTTCTTTCATGGTTATGCCCATTTGTCAGGATACCTCCTCTTTACTTTGCAGACTATACAGTTCGATATTACTTATCTGATTATCTCTTCCATGTCGACTGTGCCTCCAAAACTGACGGTAGACAGCAAGGCGAAACCCTTTCTGTTCATCATCATCTGGCACCCTAACAAAATGTCGTCTCTTGTTTGTAATGCGATCTAAACGCCCTCATCTAATTTCCTGAAAGTAAATGTTAAAATATGTAAAAATGTATTATGGTTTTATATAACTATTAGTTGTTTAATGTCAAATATTTTTTTTTATATTTTGTAAACAGAGTTTGTCCTGAATGTAAATATTAAGAGTCTCTGAGTAAAACAGTTGTTGATGTGATAATTATTTGGTTGTCATCAAATCACAAGCTACCATAAAGAAATAGTGAAATTACCGATATTCCAACTATAAAAGTTAACACTGCATGAAGTTTTAGATTTTATACTTGACATCTACTTACCGGTCTTAGAGATAAGCAATTTTGAGGCAAAAGTTTATAGCATAATTTTTTGTCGGTGGTGGTGGAGACGTGACTGGTGTGTCTCTAGCTGCAATAGTCAAACTGTTGCAAATTTCAAGCCTGGTTGTCTTTCTATTATGACAACCAGCAATTCCGTTCTTTTTTTTTATCATCCAGCTGTGATATTAACATCTGTAAATATTAAATGTAATCTTGATGTAATGAAATATTTTTTTTGTAATTATATAATAAATTAGCTCACATGACAGCCAAAGAATTGAAAAGATTTGGTTTTTATACATATTTGCATGCCATACAAAATGTTAATGATATGACTTGTCAGTTATCTGTTTGTCGTCATTGGCACTTTAAACAAAACCATTCTGGGTTTGTAACAGGAGCTACACAACCCCTCCAATCTGTTTCACAGAGAATTACGAGTCTAGTGATATATCTCTGTCAAAGATGACTGCCTTAACACGTGCTGTCACAGCACGCAGCGTCAATCATTGGCTGAATGGCGCGTGCATTGTTTACATAAGACGTTACTGCTTCGGAGAGAATGCTGCATTTTAGTCATTTTAATACCCATTTACACTAAATAGGAAATAATTTTTACCTACAAATACGTCAAACGCCTTTATTTATTTTTCCAATACATAAAAAAAATGTTTTAGAATTTAATTTGTCGCAGGAAAAAAGTTAATATTTCTGGCTCATTAAGCCGCATCGATGTCATCCTTATTAGTGATTGTAGCGGCCTAGCAAATATTCACTGCGGATCAGTGTGAACCCCCTCATCTACAGTAAGCATAATACAGCATAAGGTTGTAGTAAAGAAATTACTGTTATTTATACCTTCAATCCATCAATTCTCTGTGATCTCAACCTTGCCACCTTTTTTTCTGTGGTCCCTGTGACATCTCTTGGATGCCTTGAGACAACTCGTCTGTGCACAATTTTCCTACGCTTTGATGGAGAGGAAGGGTCTGTAAGATGGGTCAGTCGTAGCCTTTTCTGGTGTTGGCAAATCCGGCAAACTTTTAATATTATCAGAACTTGATAGTGGTGTACGAATAGTGGTGCGTGGATCACTTGATGTGTCACCTACTCGGCATAAAAATCATAAAATATCGATAGATTTTCCCACTCTTACTGCCTCTACATAGCTTTTTCTAGAAAATTCTGAAGAAAACAAAACATTCAAAACTTGTGAAAATATCAACAAAAATCATTCCAAGGATATTGTCATTTGGTTTATAAATTTCATTGAGTTTAAAACAAATATACACATTGCAATACATAATTACTTAATAGTCTTTATTATTTGGTAGTTTTTAGTTTGGTCACAAAATTTCATAAAGAATGAAGACATACTTGTATCACAAGTCCTGCGTGTCCACTGATCACACTTGCTACATGCCATTGCCTGTTCTTCACTGCGGGAGCAGGTCGTTTCATCCCATGACCGGTTCACCCCGGGCTGTTTCATCCCACAAATCAATAAACAGGTTTTACGTATTTTTAATATTTTATTCATACATTTATAACAATTACAACATGTCATGGCACTTTTAGTAATATCATTTGTATCATTTCATACATAAATCATTTCATACATAAATCATAATACATAAATCAATTACTTGATTTCATTAAATTATCTATTTACGGCTTTTATAAATAAATGTATTTGTTAAATTATTTTATAAAGAAATGTATTTGTTAAATTATTTTTATAAAGAAATGTATTTGTTAAATTAAATTATTTTTATAAAGAAATGTATTTGTTTAACTATTTCATTAAATTATCTATTATCATTTGTACATAAAACTGAGACCCGCTCCCACACACCTTGACTTAAGACGCCTGTGCCATCCTGAAATACATAAATCTCATATTAAAGAATGTCAACATGTAATAAGAATATTCAATTAAACTACTAATTACTATTGAATGTAAATACTATTGAATGTAAATACTATTGAATGTAAATACTATTGAATGTAAATACTATTGAATGTAAATACTATTGAATGTAAGTAATTAAATTAATTCACCTTCACAATCATTATTTGTTCGGAAAGCCATCATGAAGATGCTGATGTTATTTAAAGAATAGACAGGACTCGAACCAGGTTTGTCGGATATACGAAACGAGTTCCCGTAAAGGGTCCATGTTTGCCATCAGACACAACTTGTCGAAGGCAGCTCGCATGTGGTCGGCGGGTAGAAAAGGTAGCGCCATCAAACTACGGACGTAATTATAGATGTAGATGGTCTTCCTTTCGTAGTAAGTACCCGTCAACCCAACACCATGAATCTTCCTCCAAACGCATTGTATCCAATGAAAAACACAGCCCTTTAAACACTTTTCTGATAGCTGACCAGCAACCTGGTTCAAAGTCCAACATGCCATATTCTACTGCAGGTTGATATCTTTCCTTTATATGTAATAGTACCTACAATAACAAAAGATTACAATATGTAAATGTAAAGATTGCAATATGTAAATGTAAAGATTGCAATATGTAAATGTAAATTGTATTCATTTATTAAGAGATTAAAATATGTATAGATAAATTGTTACCATGTATACTATTTATTTATTTATTAACCCACCTCTTCATAGTCTTCGGACGTCCTTCCTTTCATCCGGACGAAACATAGCGGCACCTGCTTCATACTGTCCCCTTTTTTCAAAAAAACATGTATGGACCACAACTGGGAAAACGGCTCTTTAACTACTTTAAATGTCCCATCCATGAACCATCTTTTACACGTTTTCAAAAGCTCTATCTGTGTCTGTGTGGCAAACATTAGAGTGACAATTGTTGTTTTATGATCAGTAGCTAGTTGAGCAGTAATCAGTTAATTAAATGATATTTTCTCAAATGATATTTGATCTCTGGAATACACAATTAACATGGTTAAAAAGGGGCGCGTCGAATTACCCAATAACACCCAATAACTGCCCAATAACACCCAATAACTCCAAAATAACACCCAATAACGGCCCAGTAACTCCAAAATAACAACCAATAACTACAAAATGTTTGGAAACACAAAATAACAATTTAGTTGAATTTAAGAAGCATCGCTGCTTTGTGTCCAAATCGGAGTTCCACGCTCACTCGCCTGAAGGGAGATAACTCGTATATGTGATTTTTGTTGACAAGAAATTAATAACACCCAATAACTGCTCAATAACTGCCCAATAACACCAAATTGTTGACAATATAACAATTTAGTTGAATTTAAAACCCTCGCAACGCTGAGCCCAAATCAGAATTTTACGCTCACTCGCCTGAAGGGAGATAACTCGTGTATGTGATTTTTATTTACAAGAAATTAATGTATGCTTTGGTTTGGAAAGGAATTAAAATTAAACGCCAAGTATCTCGTTACCTCGTCAGGTAGCGCCTTTGTGCGTAGAATGTTTGGCAGTTAATTAGAATTTCTTTACAGGCTAATTATTTTATTATCTTTATAATATTTTCATATGAAACATTTTTAAATATGTGTATGGTTTTTTTTTATAAAACATTGGTTTGTAAAGGAATTAAAATTAAACGCCAAGTATCTCGTTACCTCGTCAGGTAGTTTTAATAAAATATTTCATATGAAACAGGTTTAAATGTTTTAATAAAATATTGGTTTGGAAAGGAATTAAAATTAACCGCCAGGTATCTCGTTACCTCGTCAGGTAGCGCCTTTGTGCGTAGAATTCCTTTACAGACTAATTATTTTGTTATCTTTATATTTTCATAGGAAACATTTGTAAATATGTGTATGTTTTTAATAAAATATTGTTTTATAAAGGAATTAAAATTAACAGCCAAGTATCTCGTTACCTCGTCAGGTAACGTCTGTGTGCGTAGAATGTTTGGCAGTTAATTAGAATTTCTTTACAGACTAATCGTTAATGTCGTCGGGTAGCGCATTTTTGAATTATTGGAAGTTAATTTGAATTTCATGAAAAACTATAGCGAGGACATCTGTAATAACGTTTTGTTATTGCAACCACCTGACGATACCCATGGAGGGGTTGAAATAGTTATTCCATATTTGACGCCCATGTATAATTAAAACGAATTGCAACGAAAGCATACATTAATTTCTTGTAAACAAAAATCACATACACGAGTTATCTCCCTTCAGGCGAGTGAGCGTAGAACTCTTCTGATTTGGGCTCAACGTTGCGAGGGTTTTAAATTCAACTAAATTGTTATTTTGTGTTTCCAAAGTCAACAATTTGGTGTTATTAGGCAGTTATTGGGTGTTATTAATTTCCTGTCAACAAAAATCACATATACGAGTTATCTCCCTTCAGGCGAGTGAGCGTGAAACTCTGATTTGGACACAAAGCAGCGATGCTTCTTAAATTCAACTAAATTGTTATTTTGTGTTTCCAAAGTCAACATTTTGTAGTTATTGGTTGTTATTTTGGAGTTATTGGATGTTATTGGGCAGTTATTGGGTGTTATTGGGTAATTCGACGCGCCGGTTAAAAAGAGTGACAATTGTTGTTTTGTGATCAGTAGCTAGTTAATTAAATGATATTTACTCAATCAATTATATGAAACTCACCTTTACTGTGAAGGAAAATCCATCGGAGGTCACCAATTTCGCTTTTCCTCTTTCTCCAATCTTCAGCTATTTCATATGTCACTTCGTGATCAGCTATTACTGACGTGTCGAGTTGGTCTTCCGGTAAAGATCTGAAATATATTCCAAGTAAATAAAGTATTTCCGGTAAATAAAAAAATATATTTTTAAGTATTTCAGGTAAGATAGTATTTCAGGTAAATAAAAAAATCTTAAATTATCACATTTAATTTACTCACATGTCAGCGACCTCTCTGGTTTGGTTGATGCTTCCGCGGTCCGTGATGTCGAATGACACCTCAAGCTCGTTTGTTGTCGATTCCTCGCCATTGGTTTCACCATTTGTTGTCAATGCTTCGTCGGTATTGGTAGTTGTTGATAGGACGTTGGAAACATCAAGAGTAAAATATGGAACCATTGAAGCAGTTGACGTTGAGTTCCAGGGTTCGGCAAAGTGGTGTTCCTCTTCTTCGTCGGCATTTGTGGTCGGTGGTATACCAGCTACTTCTCTCGTAACACAATCTGCACACGCGAAATGTAGTTCAATCTTACATTTCCTAGCAGCAAGATAATCCTTGTTTGAAATGCCTAAAATAAATAAATAAATAAATATATTCGATTTACTATCAATAAATTAAAATTCGATTTACTATCAATAAATTAAACATGCATTATGCAAGAGCAAAATCTGCTTATTATACGTCTTTCTTTAGGCCTGAAATGTTATCTAACTTATCAATTAGACATTAATTAACTTATCCAGACCATAATAAACTCTGGATGTCAAGGCTAGCTTTCGATGTTGGCTGGATTAGATTCCTATATCCCGCTAACGGCCGTTGATAATTAAATCAGAAAAAGTGGATAATCGAGACTATACTGTTTATATTAATGATTTTAGTAATGATGACCGAGACTATGCAAAAATTTCACCCGCGTCTTTCTAGGCTCATAGTGGATCAATTTGACTGAAATTTTCAGCAAATTACCTTTACACTATCTAGTTTTTAACTATTATAGCGAGAACTGCCATCTCTTTATCTTATCTCCCATAAAAAATTAATATATATTCGATTTACTATCAATAAATTAAGAAAAATAAATAAATATATTCGATTTACTATCAATAATATTTAAAGTCAAGTCACCTGTATTGCATGTTCGATGCTGCCAACGATCGCAAATGTCACAGCATGTTGACGGGGTCTAACTACGGTAGAGCAACGAATACAAAGATCAGCCATGGTGTAAATCCAAAAGATGAATGATAATCTTTCGTTCGTTCGTTCGTTTCTGGAGTTTTACGTCCACTTCCACATTCGTTCGTTAGTTTCTGGTGTTTTACGTCCACTTCCACCTAAGGTGATATCGTACACAAGTTCCACATTCGTTCGTTCGTTCGTTTCTGGGGTTTTACGTCCACTTCCACCTAAGGTGATATCGTAGACAATTTTCCACATTCACTTTCGGATCATATTTATAGTTAGATAACGCTTTAGATCAAAGTAATTAATTTTAATTGTTTATTTATCTGGCTTCTTACATAAATGTGTAAATACAACTCAAACTCTCGCGTCATGTTTTTATTACTAATCCATAACAATTAATTGCGTGTTTATTTAATAATAAACAATAAAGTACATGTTTATTTGACAACAAGTAAGTGTTTAACAGTTTATTCGACAATAAGTACAACTCAGTTAATTAACTGCTATTTTAATAACAAGGGGGATGAAACAGCCCGGGGTTTGTCTGCGATATCACTTATGTGGAAGCAGACGTTAAACACCAAGAACTACTACTACTACAGCCCGGGGTGAAACAGCCCGGGGTGAAACAGCCCGATAGAAAATTAGGTTGGGATGAAACAGCCCCCGGTGAACCGGTTATGGGATGAACTGACCCGCACCCCTTCACTGCCCTACTAGACTTTAGAGTTGACACACTTCTCAACCATTTTGAATGACATTTTTTCAATTGACAAAAATTACCAGCCATTCCTTTTATAAATACGGGACTACCTGCTATCACTATAAGCCATTCTATCTTCCAAATTACAAAGAATCCATTCTATATTTTAGTATACAATGTATCATTTGCAGGTGAAAAGTCGGCTCTATTTCAGTATCGCACCTCTACCAGTTCCCATGATCATAGGGGTATTCATGGGGTTTAGCCATGACCTCACACCAAATTTCAGCCGAATCTGTCAATAACTTTTTATTTTACTGTAGTTTAGCTTATACGAGAGAAAGTTTATCCGATTTTGACGCCATTTTGTTTGTTGGCTATTTAGACTCGAATAACAAGACAGGGTTAGGGTTAGGGCTAGTCCTGTCTACATCTTGAGACTATGACGAAATCTACAGGTCCTAGCCCTTACCCTAACCCTTATCCTAACCCACAATCCACATATGACGTCATTCGAGCCTAAATAGTCAACAAACAAAATGGCGTCAAAATCGGATAAACTTATCTCTTATAGAAGCTAAACTGAGGTCATTGCTAGCCCACCTGAACATCCCCTGAAAATTTCAAGTCTCTACGACCCCGGGAACTGGTAGAGGTGCGATACTGAAATAGAGCCGAAAAGTCTACCGGCGATATTGCACTTTCGTACCTCTACCAGTTCCCGTGGTCGTAGACACTTGAAATTTTCAGAGGATGTTAAGGGGGACCAGCAATGACCACACATCAAATTTCAGCCGAATCGATCAATAACTTTTTTATTTTACCGACCTTTTAATTTCTAACGAGAGAGAACTTCATCCGTTTGACGCCATTTGCTTTGTTTACTATAAGAAGACTCGAATAACAGTTCATAAAAATTAATATAATTTTCGTATACTTTAATTTTTGCGCGAAGCCACCATTTTCTATAAAATACTATTTGGTATTGATCAGTGGATTGGCCCTTAGGTGTGAATATTGCCGTGACCTTGATTTTGACCTGGAGTCCAAACTTCCCATCCATATCGGGGCCTTTGCGTTGATGCTTGCCGTGGCCTTATTTCTTACTGTATTATCAAAGTTAATGTTCGAGGTGAAAGCAGAGACGACGTCCTTCAGAAAAGATAATTGGGTCAAAGTCGTAGGTCAAGGTCATCTTATCTTACAGGAAACTAAACTCAAACTTTTCAAAGTCATTTTTGGGACATTTGACCTTGACCTCGTAACCATTTTCGAAGGCTATCACCTTGGCTTGAATCATGGACGTTTACCTTGGTCCTGTCGCACACTGCTCGGTCAGACAACGGTCAGACGCAGAGGGCCCGTGTCCGAAAGGTAGTCAATGGGCGTGGTCAATGTGAAAGGTCGTGGTGACCTCCACTAGTCACCGTTAACCAACCGTGACCTTGACTCTGACCTTGAGTCCAAACTTACCATCCATCTCGGGCCCTTTGCGTTTATGCTTGCCGTGGCCTTATTTCTTACTGTATTATCAAAGTTAATGTTCGAGGTGAAAGCAGACGTCCTTCAGAAAAGATAATTGGGTCAAAGTCGTAGGTCAAGGTCATCTTACAGAAAACTAAACTCAAACTTTTCAAAGTCATTTTTGGGACATTTGACCTTGACTTACGACCTTGACCCCGTAACCATTTTCGAAGGCTATCACCTTGGCTTGAATCATGGACGTTTACCTTGGTCCTGTCGCACACTGCTCGGTCAGACAACGGTCAAACGCAGAGGGCCCGTGTCCGAAAGGAAGTCAATGGGCGTGGTCAATGTGAAAGGTCGTGGTGACCTCCACTAGTCACCGTTAACCATCCGTGACCTTGACTCTGACCTTGAGCCCAAACTCACCATCCATCTCGGGCCCTTTGCGTTTATGCTTGCCGTGGCCTTATTTCTAACTGTATTATCAAAGTTACTGTTCGAGGTGAAAGCAGAGACGATGTTTTTCAGAAAAGATAATTGGGTCAAAGTCGTAGGTCAAGGTCATCTTACAGAAAACTAAACTCAAACTTTTCAAAGTCAGTTTTGGGACATTTGACCTTGACTTACGACCTTGACCCCGTAACCATTTTCGAAGGCTATCACCTTGGCTTGAACCATCGACGTTTACTTTGGTCCTGTCGCACACTGTTCTGTCAGAAAAGGGTCAAACGCAAAGGGCCCGTGTCCGAAAGGAAGTCAATGGACGTGGTCAATGTGAAAGGTCGTGGTGACCTTCACTAGTCACCTTTAACCATCTGTGACCTTGACTTTGACCTTGAATCCTAACTTCCCATCCATCTCGGGCCCTTTGCGTTTATGCTTGCCGTGACCCTATTTCTTACTGTATTATCAAAATTAATGCTTGAGGTGAAAGCAGAGACAACGTCCTTCAGAAAAGTTAAATGGGTCAAAGTCGTAGGTCAAGGTCATCTTACAGAAAACTAAACTCAAACTTTTCTAAGTCAGTTTTGGGACATTTGACCTTGACTTACGACCTTGACCCGTAATCATTTTCGAAGGCTATCACCTTGGCTTGAATCATGGACGTTTACGGTCAAACGCAGAGGGGCCCGTGTCGGAAAGGAAGTCAATGGGCGTGGTCAATGTGAAAGGTCGTGGTGACCTCCACTAGTTACCTTTAACCATCCGTGACCTTGACTTCGACCTTGAGTCCAAACTTCCCATCCATCTCGGGCCCTTTTCATTTATGCTTGCCGTGACCCTATTTCTTACTATATTATCAAAGTTACTGTTCGAGGTGAAAGCAGAGACGACGTTCTCCAGAAAAGATAATTGGGTCAAAGTCGTAGGTCAAGGTCATCTTCACCTCGAACATTAACTTTGATAATACAATAAGAAATAAGGCCACGGCAAGCATAAACGCAAAGGCCCCGATATGGATGGGAAGTTTGGACTCAAGGTCAAAATCATGGTCACGGCAATGTTCACGCCTAAAGGCCAATCCACTGATCAACACCAAATAGTATTTTATAGAAAATGGTGGCTTCGCGCAAAAATAAAGTATACGGAATAAAATAAAACCAAGTACGAACAATCCAAACCATAAGACAGAATTCGAAGTCCTAAAAAACGTTATAGGCAAAATAGTGTATTCAAGCAAAATAGTGTAATCAGCAAATGGACTGCTCCTCCTGTACAAAATACACGACAAACAGTGGTAACAGGTGTCCGGAAGAGTAAGCTTACCCTGCCTGGAATTATATTAATTTTTATGAACTGCAGTGTTAGGCAGCTAGTGCAGTGTGTCGGTTTCCGTCTTAGTGTCTTGTTATTCGAGTCTAAATAGTAAACAAAGCAAATGGCGTCAAACGGATGAAGTTCTCTCTCGTTAGAAATTAAAAGGTCGGTAAAATAAAAAAGTTATTGATCGATTCGGCTGAAATTTGATGTGTGGTCATTGCTGGTACCCCTTAACATCCTCTGAAAATTTCAAGTGTCTACGACCACGGGAACTGGTAGAGGTACGAAAGTGCAATAGCGCACGAAAATATAAAAACAACAACCCATCCTATAATTCCACGGCATATACAAATGGTGTTAAGTTGTGGTTATGACGTCTATAATATCCATATTTAGCACATAAATGTCGAATACAGTATCAAAAAAAAACCGATCAAACATAATCAACACCGAGCCATGAACGGCTAAGACGCATTGTCACCAGACTAGAATAAACAAACTGAAAGTAACACGGAAATGTCACTGCGCACGCGCTGCACATAGTCGCGTGTTATCCAGGCACTTCTGTATAACGCAAACAGGACACAAGTTAGTCTTCACACATGGAGCGATACCGACGATTGGAAGTTTTTTGAAAACGTATCACATGGCTTGAGGCAGTTGCTCGGATCTAAGTTAGAGTTTATTAAGGGCTTTTCACACAAAATTAAGCAGTTTTATAGCCCAAAATCCATCTGGGAATATCCCTTTAATACAATTGCTTTCTTTGAAGACCACTTAGACCAAAACCAATCTGATTTTATCTTAAAGGGACAATAACACTCTTGCTGGCTTGACAGCTCCGGAAAATAAATAATAGCCTTATTCTAAGTACTAGATGTTTAAAGGAGCTAAGTCGCTAGTATTTGGGACCTAGAAATTGACACAAATGGGTCGCAACGCATACAATAATGTAATATGAAAGTATATAAATTGATTTACATTCAATCGTTTCTGTTTTTACTGTAATTTCTAATCAGTTAGGTTCGGCGAAATACGCCAGTATTCTCAATCGAATTTCAGTCTCTAGCGTCTGGTTATTCCAGTCTACGCCGATAGTATCTATTGGGCATGCTCTCCAGATAAGAAAATAGCATCACCGTTTGACATGACTTGTGGAATATGCCTAGCCTCGTTTTTCGAGTTCCTTATTACAAATAACGCTAAAACGCATTATGGTACACGATTCGTGTAGCAATTGCAAAATGTTTATTTTGTCTTAAATATTGGATATCAGAAGGCCATCTTTTCCCGGTAAGATCACAACATCAATGTTGATTTAAAACGACAAATAAATTGGTGTATAGGTGAAGTCTTTTATTACGTTTATCGTTTTAAGTCTCGTGATGAGTTTGCATATTTTGATTGATGGATGATTGATGTAAACCTTGTCTTTAATAAAATTGATATTGTTGTTTTAATCAAATTGATATTGTTGTTGTAATAAACTGATGATTACTGTTTGTATTACTGTTTTAGTAATTTGTTTAGAAAATTAATTAACAAAACACTGATTAACTAAACTGAGTAGTAGTGTTTCAGTATCAATTTTCAAAATGTCTTATAGCTGTATAGTTTGTGAGTCAGTTGTTCGCCCAAGACAAGAGGCTGTTCAGTGCGACGGATATGAACGATGGCAGCACAGAACTTGTAATACTGGCCGGTAAGACTTTCATGTTATTTTTTTAAATTCAACAATATTGTATTAAATTCAACAATATTGTATTAAATTCAACAATTCTATCTGCTATTGACCCTATTGTACAAGGAAGCAGCTACCAACCCAAATTAAGATGGTATCGGAAGGGAAATTGCGAAGGCACCAGCAAAAACAGACAAGAACTACGCAATTCAAATTATTTCAACTGTGGAATTCATACACAGGCCAGACTATTAGTACCAACCAGTTACTAAAGAGATGTGGGGGAATTTATGGACCTAACTGAAGCACAAATTTACTAAATGGCTAACCTACTGAACGACATACCGACAGAAGAAAAAACATATTTATAAAAATGTATTAGTTGATCATGATATAATAAAATGTATTATTTAATAAATTGTTGATGTAATAAATAATAAAATGTATTATTTAATAAATTGTTGATGTAATACATAATTTAACATTATTATTTTTATAAATTGTTGATGTAATAGATTCTTATATAAATTGTTGATGTAATAGATTCTTATATAAATTGTTGATCTAATATATTTTTATATTACTGATTAATTTTCATAAATAAAAAGAAATCAATATTTGTTGTGGTATTTATAACTTGGAATGATTGGGTTTTTTAAAGTTGGGATGAGTTATTTTGCTTATACCGTTTTTTTAGGACTTTGAATTTTGTCTAATGGTTTGGATTGTTCGTACTTGGTTTTATTTTATTGTCTTCTAACATGGGATGAGTTGTCTTTTGACTTGGGATGAGCTGTCTTCTAACTTGGGATGAGTTGTCTTTTATTGGGATGAGTTGTCTGGGATGAGTTGTCTTTGGGATGAGTTGTCTTTGGGATGAGTTGTCAGGTATTCTTTAAAACGTTATGTCCCCTTACTCGCCAGAGGACGCGCTTTCAAATGAAATAAAATGGGAGACGGCGTGGACATAGATTTATATGATAATTTAGACGAAGAATTCATACAGGTATTAGTATTTTTTTTTTTAACTTACGCCGTTTTCACCAATACGTTTAGAATCAAGATAAAGAGAGTATTTACACTACCATTCCTAATTATAGACGGGCAAGTGAAAAATTATTTCCGAATTCAAACCGCCATTTTTGGTGTTTATTTGAATATTTCTGATGGAGTGCTGTTTGCTTTTGTAGGGGTCCTAAAGCAAGCAAAATCTGCTCGGTACTATTTCAGTAACGTACCTCTACCAGTTCCCGTGATCGTAGAGACTTGAAATTTTCAGCAGATGTTCAGGTGGACTAGTCATGACCTAGTTACTTTAGTAACGTATATTGTATCGGCTCTGCTCTCCACTACGTTACTGTCAGCTCCTAATGACAACTAGGCTAGTATGAAAATAAGGCTTTTCCCCTATCTCGGTTCTAAGGCAATTTTGGAATCCTTACCGTCTATTTTTCACTGTGATTCTCCTTTGGTCGCTAAAAGGAACCATTTCTTGCCACATCCGACACAAATTTATGAAAATCCAACTCAATTTACATGTAGAATTACTAGAATTGTACGATACAAAAACATAAACAACTTTCATTTGAATTGGGCCGCCATTTTCAAACTAACGCTCAGCCAATAATCCAAACTTAGACATGGAATTTTACTGTAAATGAAAATTCGTGCTGTACATGGTCACTATAGTAGGGGTGATGATTTTCCGTTTCAGAAAATAGCAAATTCCGTTTTAAGTAGGCCCTATTTTTAATTCCGTTATTTTCCGTTTCAGAGCTGACCATATTCCGTTTTTTCGAGATAAAATGTTATTTTATGAATAAATGAATAAAACATCTTAAAATGCCTTTTATTACAAAACGGATCATTTTAAACCAATGACAACAAATGTTGAATTGTGAATGACTTGTAATGTTCAATGACTTGTTATTCTTTAAACCTGTTTCCCGAATTAAATAACAGAAAATTACATCTTGTGAGCTCGTTTCATCTTTTTAGCAGACGAAGCCATTTTTCTCAGCTGCTAGGTGTAGTCGCGATTTATCCAGACATCTTCGTAGTTACTACCGTTTCTTCGAGAATAAGGGCTGGATTCACAAGGCTACGGTATATTTCTGATGTCACGTGGTTAATGCGGATAAACACGAGTCACGAGCCCGGCAGTAAAATAAGAAGTAAATGAAACGATTTTTACTTTTATGAAGTGACAGAAGTTTTTTTTAAGACATGTATATACATTACAATGTTTAATTCAAGTTAAACTACAGAGTAATTTTATAATGGGATACATGAAAGACGGGTTTTCGTTTCGATTAAAATTATGATTCCTAAATGATGAAATGAAAGTAGTGAAATACTAAAATAGACAGTAACAAAACCACGCGATATCATTCAATATTTCCGATTTTTATGAATAAAAAGATGAAATACTTGGATAACTGCAAAATTATTTTGAGTTTGTGTTTAGTATCAGCAAATATCGGCTTTTCCGTCTTTTTCCGTGTGAGATTTCAAATTCCGTTTTGAGTGGACAATTCTGCGATTTCCGCGTTTTTTCCGCGATCACGGAAAATCATCACCCCTACTATAGTTTTTTTTATTCAACATACATGAATAATTATAACATAAAATCTATAAAATAGAACAACACATTATATTGACCTTTATAAAATATTTTAAATATTCTATGTGTTATTCTCATGTAGCCTACAGCAAGGATTTTCGTTTAAGGTAAAGTTCCATTCCTAAATTTGGAATATTGGCTGAGCGTTAGTTTGAACATGGCGGCCCAATTCAAATGAAAATTGTTTATGTTTTAGTATCGCATAATTCTACATAAAAATAGTGTTGGATTTTTATAAATTTGTGTTGGATGTGATAAAGTGTTTATCACCGAAGTCCCACTTCGGAATGTCCGCTTGAACATAAATAACAATACCTTGTAATTATATCTGTAGCTTCCTACAACATCTCGTGCCTTTTCATGTGCATCTCCGGCTATATATATGTCCTGCTCTCTGGAGTAGGAATCTACTAAGAAATAGTTCCTATCTCAGCTTCGGGTTCAGACCACTAATTGAATTTCTACTACATTCCTCCCCGTTCTCTTTCAGGTTAGCCTCTCCCGGGCTACAAAAAAACCAATTTGAAACTAGAACTGCGAAGCAGTTATGACGGGTTTCACTGGTGCCATGTTACCCTTGAACTTATGTCACTTCTGGTGCCACGTTTTCAGTGAACTTATGTCACTTCTGGTATCAATGAAACCGTTAAACAGATTTCCACATAAGCATTGCACAAATAGACGCAGAATCAACCAAATCTAGCAATATCAATTGCATCTATACATTTGTTACCATGTGTTACATACATGTATGTCAAAAAAGTGATCCTGACAAAATTTATTACTAACTTACCGATGAGTTAGCTAACTTTCTAATGGCAAATTAAAATGGGAAAAAAATCTATAAAAGTCATCCAGACAAAATTGGTTATTTCTCGACAAGGGAAGATACTAAGAGCCATTTTTGGACATCTATATGATCGTATTGATCCAATCGATATGTCCATTGGAATCAAATATCAAAATTGTTAAACAAATAATAAATATAACTCACTTCAAAAAAATATTTGTTTTGAAAGCTAAAAATACAGTTTTTGCCCAAATGACATTACTTCCGGTGATAATGAAATTGTTAAATTAGTTCAATGAAATCATAAATGGCATAAGGCATCCCACGGTGACAATTTTATAAAAAATCAAATATTAATTTGCTCTTTTATAGACCCAAAACCTTGAAAAGTGACTTGAAGAAAATCGTCTATTTCTCTGCAACCGTACAAGTTAAAAACGTTTTTGTGGTATCTGTATGATCGTATGGGTTAATTCTATTTGTTGATTGGAATCAAATATCATAATGTTAAAAACATTACACATCAGACTCATTTGAATAAAATATCTGTTTTGAAGGCTAAAAATACAGTTTTTGACCAAATGACGTCATTTCCGGTGATAGTATAAATGTTAATTTGGCTTGTCCTAGTCCAAATTGGCATTAGGTATCAAATGGTAAAACCAAATTGAAAATCAAATAATAATGACTCTTTTACAGGCAAAATAATGTGACTTTTAATCGAAATAGCCCGAAAACGAAAGCGAAATTAAAAAAACTGAGTCTGATGATTTGTGCGCCTTTGCATGGCGTATACTTTTGGTAATATCAAATTTTGAAAAAACAATATTTGCTTTGAAAAAGTGGTACCGAACTGTCAAAATTGTAGTTTATGGTAAAATTATGTCACTCCCGTTGCCGACAGGAAACTTTACCGGTAACAAAAAAAATGAAATTTCGGAAAACGGACCTTATGAAGTTTCTATTATACATATCGAACAATAAATAATTAATCTAGGATCGAAGAACTGAATTAGTCAATGGCGACTAACCCGAATTACTGAGACAAGAATTGTTCACATTTTTGCTCAAGTCAGATGACCATTTAATCCTGTGTAAAATACCATCAAAAAATCTTCATTAATAAAAAAAGTTTTTTGTTAAAATTTAAATTTTCAAAATTTCGCGCCTAATATAAGTTATACCTATGACACCATTATCAACGGTATCAACTGGATCAGTATTGACACCGACCTCCGGGGCAACAGTGTTTTCACTTGATTCACCAACTGCTACGGTGGTATCACAAACCGGAACAAGAAGCTCACTCCTGCATTTATGTGTACCGCTTAGACCGGCGTCGCTTAACGTCTTGTCAAAAAGTAATAAAGGCGAATCATAATTAGGTGGGATCAGACGCTCGCCCGTTCGTTCGATCCTTCTAGTTTAAATCCGCAACGAAAGCTACGTGTTTGTCGACATCCGTTTTACCGGACAAAGGTGTACTATGCCCAGGAGAAAATAAATTCGGACACTCCCGCTTATAATGACCTTGTTTTCCACAATGAAAGCATGAAACTTGTTCCTTGGAAGGAGAGCGAGATCTGGAAGGAGATCTTGAACGAGATTTCAAACGATCAATAGATTCTAATATCTTTTTCACAGTCAAAGACAATTCATCAAGATGTTTCCACTCTTATCATCATTTTTATACGCTCACATTGAAATGTGGTCGTATATTGTCGTCGCCCCCCGTCCATCGGTCCGGCATCCACAATTGCTTGTGGACGCTTTAGAGGCTAAAGTTAATATCTGATTGACTTTAAATTTATACACAGTGTTAAAGGTCTTGAGACGAAGAAGCCTATTGATTTTCAGCGATTTCCGATAATTACTGCCAGAGTTATGGCCCTACATCACTTTGAAAAATCTTGTAGACGCTCTAGAGGCCAAAGTTAATATCCAATTGACCTTAAATTTATACATAGTGTTTGAGGTCATGAGACGAAGAAGCCTATTGATTTTCAACGATTTCCAATAATAACTGCCAGAGTTATGGCCCTTGATCACTTCAAAAAATCTTGTGGATGCTCTAAAGGCCAAAGTTAATATCCGATTGACTTTAAATTTATACACAGTGTTTAAGGTCATGAGACGAAGAAGCCTATTGATTTTCAGCGATATCCGATAATTACTGCCAGAGTTATGGCCCTTGATCGCTTCAAAAAATCTTGTGGATGCTCTAAAGGCCAAAGTTAATATCCGATTGACTTTAAATTTATACACAGTGTTTAAGGTCATGAGACGAAGAAGCCTATTGATTTTCAGCGATATCCGATAATTACTGCCAGAGTTATGGCCCTTGATCGCTTCAAAAAATCTTGTGGATGCTCTAAAGGCCAAAATTCTCTAATTTTTCAACATAATGTACCATTTAGTACTAAATTGTACAATCCCATTTCAAAAAAAAAAATCATTAATTTTTGTCGGTTGTCGAGATATGGGAGCTTGAAAATTGACCCAAATTTTCAAAAACAGCTTTTGGAGAACTTTAACTGAAAAATTACAACAAAGTACATGGTTACCCATAGGTTTTTTGGGTGGTTCTTGTTAG